ACCAAACTAGGCCTCCTCACCAAATCAAATCCAAGACTTACACTTGTCACCATCCTAAGCCTTCTCTCAAAGCTTAATCTAAGCCCTACACTTGTCAACATCCAAGGGCAACAAGTGCACCAATCCTAGGCCAATAAGTGGGTGAATCCTCACCCTCCACATATCATCATCCAAGGCTTCCAAGTGTCACCGGCCAATGAAATGACAACAAGTGGACTAATAGGAGTGTGACACTTGTCACACTTTTCAAAAATTACAAAAAAGTCCCTCCCCAAAATATCTTCAAAATAAAATTACGAATATGTCCCTAAGATAAATATCTAAAGAAAATTTAATTACGAAAAATACCACGTAAAACAAAAATATTTTCAAAGAAACTGTAACGACCGAAACCTGTAGGTCCGAACCGCCAACCGAGTCCTTACCCTGAACCCGAGGTTACCGAAGTAACTACCATCAAATCCAGTGTCAATACATCATTCTTACGTCATAAATATGATCCATGAAGGCTCTAAGCCACCTACCAAAGCTCAGGAAAAGCGAAGCCAAAATGAGGAACAAAATGCACCAACAGCAGCATTTCGGTCGACTAAAGTGGAGCTTCGGTCATCCGAAATGGCTACTGTACCGGTCGACCGAAATGGCCATTCCGGTCGATCGGTTGTGACCCCAACAGGCTACTGGAATGATCGGTAGACCGAAATGACCCTGCAAGGTGGAAATGCTGCAACTGAGTTGATATAAGCTGAAATGTACAATGGTATCAATAGAGACCTTAAAACTAATCCAAAACCTGTCTCAACCCGCTGCAAAATGGTGTACCACATCCCATACATTCAAAATATGAAGTTTACATAACTTTTACATAGTTCCAAAGTCGTTTACATGGAAATAAACATATATACATCAAATGGTTCAAATTTTTCATATTACAAAACCACAAACTGAAAGTTATACAAAATGATTGTAGAGTTCTACAAAATTTACATGGCATATGCTTCCATACAAAAGATAACTAATTACAATTTCTAGTCCAGTCAAGCTTGTGGTTGATTATCATCCGTCACCTCCTTCCCGTGTCCTGAAATTTGTTAAAAATAAGGAGTGAACGTAAAGCTCAGTAAAAGTTACCTAAGGCGTTAGTTTTGGACTCCCTTGAGCCAAGTAACATATAATGGGTGTGAAAAGATGTCGGGATCATGCAATGGGGATTCATGCACCATAAACAACTTAGCAAGAAATAATTTCAACACTTGTCACAATTCCACCAAATGATATGCATGAAATGGAATGTGATGCACCTGTCTCAAATCTGGTCTATACCGACCCAACCCACACTTTTAGAAATCCGCTAACTGACTTTACCGAGGCGAGATTGATAACTATCCCCGGTTCATTTTTGGCAATGCCTGGCAACCATTAAAGGGCCTAATATCAACTTTTTCACATCCAAAACCGGGCCGCGCTCCCTCTAGGTCAAGCTAGCCCCAGACTCGCGAAATCCGGTTCATTTTAAAAAAAATACTTCCTTCCCCCAACTTCACATTCTAGAAATAACTTTTCCTTTCCAATTTTCCCAAATCCCTCCTTTATGTCATGGTAAGCTATGTAATGGCCTTCAATATCAAATCTCAATTTCAACATCAAACCAAGAATAATATCGTCGTAGTATCCATGATAGTCAACAAAGATTATAGCATACCTTGAGAGTTTAATACAACAAGACACCAATATCTCATGTAATATATGCACAAGAATCATTTACAACCAAGCTTGACATGTAAACACATACATTTTCACATATTAAAAACTTAGAACCTTTCTAATTCATTCGTTTCATAGTCAAATTTGCAATTTAGGCATAAATCAATTAAACTAGAAATTTTACTCAATTAAAGAGGCAAAACATCATGCATTAGGAAAACCCCTACCTCAATTGAAGAAAAACCCCAAATCAAGCTCTAATTTCGAAATCCAAGGGTTGGCTAAATGATGCTTGGCTTCTATCAAATTGACGGCATTGACGAGCTCTTGACTTTGTCTAAAGGAGTACTATCAAATTCCCAAAGATGTGGGAAGAATCAAGCCTTGAAAGCTTGAAGAAGAAAAGAAAAAGAAAAAGAAATGTAGAGGGAGAGAGAGTGCCGGGTAGAGAAAGGGAAAATGAGGCCATGTGATGGCCTCTTGGCCACTAAAGGATGGTGAGTGGGGAATGGGCCCCACCACTATCACAAAATATCCAACTTTTTCCTTTTTATAAGTATATGTATATATAATTTAAATTTCCACCACATAATTAAGCACATCACCACAATATTATGCACAAATAAGTATGCATGAAATGTCATGAACCCGTGACACAACCCCCGTGCACAACAATTCCGGTAGTGGGTTCCACCCGGGACCTTCCGGCCCGAAAAATGAAAAAATGTCGAAATGACAACCATTGCATTTCTAAGAGTCCTAAAGTCAAGGAAATGCCACAACCAACTCTCAGACACTCCCGGCACACCCCACGGTGTCCGGCACGTAAAACAGAAAAAGACAAAAATGCCCTTGGCAAAAAAAAAAAAAAAATGGTGAAAAACAGAGACATTACAGAAACCATGCATCAATGCCCCAACAAGAAAAGTAAACAAATAGATACTTTTCTACAAAAGTAAGACTACGCATTTCATGGAAATAAAATAATTAAGATGCACGTGAAGTCAGAAGTCAAATCCGAACTCAAAACCCTAAGGTCACAAGAAAAGAAAAAAAATCAAATAATTAAATAATAAAAAAAAAATTAATGACGAAAAATTGGAAGAGGAAGAAAAGACAGTGTCATTACACTTGCACCACCTCTTCAATATAATTGGGCTTCCTTCAAATGTATGGATCCTGGATAACACTTTCTGGACATCGTCGTCATTCTTGAAACGCACCATGAAAAATCCGTCCTTCAGATAAACTAGTGTAAAATCTTTGGACCAATATCTCTTAACGAAAGATTTGAAATATGGATAGTATGGTTCTCTTCCCATTACGTATCCAATAACAAATGATCGCCAATATGCCACTTCCTCAGCCACATCTTCTTTCGTGCTGGAAACCTTTGTGCTGCGACATTCATGATGATATTGCAAATTCTTGAAAGAAGCTTGGGATTCATCGAAGAAACTAATGTATTTAGGTTTACTGGGGGTAGGGTTCCAACTTGGAGCTCTTGCCAGAGGTGTTGGGGAGGAGGATTGACCCTCCTCCATACTGAAAACTCCCCTTACAGACGACAAACCCTAGAAGGTATGTGTCACCCTAGAAACAAGAGAAAAAGGGTAATTTGGGAAAAAAAACGTTTTATCAAATATAATATAATAAGAGCTTTTCCTCTCTATCTTTCATTCGAATCCAGGAATAAAATATCTACTACCAGCCAAGTTGCGATCGATCGCACAGTGTTGCGATCGATCGCAACTCTGCTACGATTGATCGTGCTGACGTGGCCTTGATCTTATCCAATGAGCTAGCTGTCTTATCTGCTAAGCTAGCTGTTGACGTGGACTTGCAATTGATCGCACTTCTTCTGCAATCGATCGTGATGATGACATGCCATGCGAACAGTCCTGATGAGTTGGCAACTGCGAACGATGACGCGGCTTACAATCGATCATGAGGGATCTGCAATCAATCGTAAGCCCCTATTTGGCATTTTTCTGATCTTTTTCTGGATTTTTCTCAATGCAATTACTTGACTCCGAAAAGGCTTTAATGAACCGAAATTAGCCCGTTTAACCTTATTAACCTGAAATTGACAAAAACACAAATTAAGACTAAAACGGGAAAGTAAAGATAGATGAAAGGTCTAAATTACCCAAGATTAGGGTTAAAATGTGCAATATTTCAGTACTTATCAGGGTATCTCCTCACAAATGGGTGATTGTGAGAACTTATGCGCTCTCGGAATGTGTGCATGTTTGTTTGTGCTTGCTTTTGGAAAAGTGATATTTGTTGTGGCCAATTGATTTCATTGGTTGGTTTGGCTAGATGGTTGGATTTGGAATGCAAAGTGGATGTGTGTGGTTGTGTTGTGGTTCCTTTGCTTTTGTTAATGCGACATTGAGGTTAAAAAAGGACATTTGATTTAGAGGCCGTTTTGTGGACTTAAAAATGCACACTCACCTTAAAGTGGTTTTAATGACTCAAAGGTAACCAAAATAATCACTTGTTTTTTAAAAACTATTTTTGTATCGAGAATAGCCGTAAATAACTATTTCAATAGAAAATTGATTTTTTTTATGTTGGGAAGGTGGAAAATGACCACTTACCAAAAAGTGGGTTTTTTGGAAAAGGCCGAAAACAACCGGAGTGACCACTTTAACTAAAAATGGTTCAAAAAGTGTCAGGATACGACAAAAATGACATTTTGTAAATAAAATGTCCATTTTTAATTTCAAACCGATTTTAATGTCAAAAAACGCTCAGTGTGATTAAAAAAAATTGCTCGGTATGATAAAAAGTGTAAAAATGTCTTTGGGTGGTGGTTCTGAATACGGAAAGCTACCGGTAAGTTCCACGAGGAACCAACCATTTGGTTAGCTTCCGGAAGGCCATGACAACCTCAATAGAACCACCTTTTGCGTGTGAAATCAATTACGGCCAGGGGGAAGCCAAGAATGTCATCCCGTGGTCGTAAGACACGTGTGCAAATGTGTGCTCATTTTATGTCAATAAGTAAAATTAAAGACATAAAGCATGTAAATATCCAAAGATGACAATAGATAATGATAAAGGGACCAATAATGAACATTGAGACAAAAATTTCCTTAAATTTTCACATACGGAAGCTCCTCCAATCACTAATCATGTAGAATCATTGGTGGACCCCTAAGGAAAGACTCCAAGTAACTACTATTTGCAAACCACTCATCCTTCAGGCCTAGCAAAGCAACACAATTTCCTTAAATTTGCTGTACTTACTACTAGCTCAGAAGATATCTTTAAACAGAAACAAAAGTTCGGAGTTGGAAACAGAATGATATTCATGGCAGTAAAACGGAGTAAATGAAGGAATCATAATTCAATGTTTCAATTCCATACATATTTCAATGGTCCTGCATTATTCCAGATCAGACAAGTATGTCTCATTCAAATTTCCATTATGGCTATAACTCAAACCTACATGATGGATATACTAAAAGAACCAATTTACAGATTGTATTAATACATAGCCCTCGAATTTGAAGAGAGTGAAAAGTAGAAAGTTGAGCCTCAGGTGTTGAGTTTTCTGGTGAATGGCAACGACAAACTCCGTATTACAACAATATATAACATTTTAATAACTAGTACTGTCCGGTTCATACACGTCTCAACTGTCACTATGATTCACCAATCCACACACCAAGCTTTGTTCCCAGTTCATCTACCAACCATAAAATTTAAACTCATTTTCAGACATTTTGAGATTGGATCATTTATGAACTGCAACTCCAACCTTACTATGCAGACTTGATCCGTCTGGAAGCCCTAATGGTGGATCTTGACATGAACAATTATCAACAGTAAATAGCTCCCACTCTTTGATAGCACATCTATCTAATGCAGCAACCAATCTTTGTCTCTCCATTTCATTTGGGTACTCCCCATTACGGCTAACAAGCACCGCCCCAGTATAAGACTGCCCTGCAGCTCGAGCAGCGCCACTGTAATGAAACAAGCCCCAGCTAAAATCATCAGAAACATCCACAATTGTCCAAAACTCATTTGAAACCACCCCATTGTCCAAGACACTGAAAGAAAATGTCCCTGGAATTTTACCTCTCTTAACTCTATATTTTCGCCGCCTCCAAACCAACTTCCCCTCAAACGTTTTAACCTGAAAAACTGGCTCATACCAAAATGATCCTCTTGCCTTTCCCCTATAAAATAGCTGGAACTGGCATGGAAATTGATCATAAGCTGGGTTCTGCCCTGCTACAACACGCCAACTCCATTCCAGGTTCCCCATCCAACCAACAAAAAGATCCTCTGCAGTTTCATGACACAAGTTCTCCCCACGAAACTTAACCATAGGTGGCACATAAGGCTTTTCAGGGATCTTTGCATCCAATTCAAGACAATTATGCTTCTGTAGTACACAAAGAGAGAATTCTTCTAGGATTGAACTTTCATACGAAGCAATACAGCGATAATTACATACCTGATCTACTGGACTACACTGATTCAAGCATTGAAGAGCTTTCCTACAGTTAGGATCCAAGAGACAGTTCAGTATTTGAGTCCCGCAGTTCTTCACCATACAGTTCAAGGTAGAAAAACCCTTTGCTCTCAGGTTCTTCAGGACCGGAACTGGCTTTATATAAGCATTGACTATAACTAACAAACAGAACCTTATATCATCAGAATTATGCCTGTCCCAAGCCTCAGATACAGTTTGGACTATTTCTACTGATTCATTTATTTTCTTTGATTTTGAAATTTCAGCTACTTTGCTGAATATGTTTCCTTTGCTTTTACTTTGAACATATGTACCTCCTAGTTTGTTCGTTAATGATGGAGAGGAGTCAAAGCAGACTATGTTTGGGATGTTTTGGGTATTGATCTGAATCCACTTAACTGGTTCTTCATTTGTAACAGCAACAATCACCAAAATATTTGCACAGCTTAATTCCCTCTGCAGCTTTTCAACTGTTTGATCATCAGATTGATAGAGGTTGTCAGTAAATACCAGCATTTCAAATTCTTCGTCAACCCATTTCAATCTTTTTGCCTGCTTATAGAGATATAAGTAAGAGGAGGTGTAGAACTCTTCTCCAGAGACTAAAACACTTGTTCAATTGAACCAAAAAAAGAATACAGAACACAAATGTAATGAAATAGATAGAAGTGATATTCTAGGCCCCCATACAATATAGGCCAGTAAAATAATATTTATGAGCATATAAATTTCAAGCTTTCAAAAGATAAATGGTGAAACAATATATTAAAATTCAAGCACAATAGATAACGCTTACGCTCCCCAATCCATATAAAAAAGATGAATTTCCACAAATGAGTATAGCTAAAATCATGATGTTGAAATATATAAGAGGCGAGATTAAAAATACAATTCGAAAAAACAGATACATCCATGAACCATAATATTTTTCCAACTATTTTCTTAACTCCACTAGCAACCAATTTTTTTTCAGTTTTTCCTTCCTTATTGAATTACATTTAATGCTTTTTCTCATTAAAATAAATTATGAAAAATTTCATAGTATTTTGTAGACATATTCTCGATCAAATTTACATAAATTTACCTTTCACTCTTGAAATATCTTGTTTTGAAAAAGAAAACTTAATTAGAAATATTAAAACAATTTGAGTAATTCCTTTATTTTTCATGAATATACTGCATGAAAAAATATATATTTTTAAACATTTCTTTTTATGGTAAAAATGTTTAAATGGGATATAATAACTATGTGCTATATTTTTCCCATTGTAATGATAAATTCATACCAATTATAAAATTAAGGGTAAAGAGTATAATTAGTATTTAAATAAGAGAAAGATAGTAAAGATAATTCAACAAAAAGGGCAAAACTAGAAAAAAAATAATAAAAAAATTATTACTAGTGGAGTTTTGAACTTAATTTAAAACATTTGTTAAAATGTAAGACTTTGTTGCTAAAAAAAGAAAATAGGACTTATTGGTCAATGCAATTAGAAAGTACGGCTAACTTGTAGTTTTTTTTTTTTTTTTTTTTTGATAAGTAATAATGAATTTAAAAAGGCGTTCAAAAGGGGAACGCATCCCTTAGACATTAGTGGAACCAGGGGCTAAGGCCCCAAAGAATCCAAAAAAGTAATTAAATCATCAAAAGAGGAGCATGAACTCCTCTTCACATAACTAAAGAGAGAACGAATAATAAAAAGTTTCAGCGTCGCCGTAGAAAGTATGGCTAACTTGTAGTTTTCCCAATAATTAAAGCTTCAATAACATAATACAACATAAGAAAAGGCAATTGAGACAACGTCATGCAGAAAAAAAAACCAATGACTGCACCACTAAGAAGGAATGATATGGTTTAAGGTGTGAAAGGGCAAAGAGACGGTCAAATAAATATATGGCTAAAGCTATAAGAAAAGACTAGATGAACTATAGCTCAAGGGAAATTACGTCTCTTGGCTTATAATATTGGTAAAAAGGATGCTTGTAGCTATTTATATTAGTAGGCATTTTAGGATTACATGAGCTGATAGTTATTAGGGAAATGCATAGCTGAAATATGACTCGTGATCTCGTTTTATCCTTACAAGGCTAGTCTGAAACTCAAGAAAATCACGGTTCTGTTAGGTAGTTGATAGTTAGCCTAAAACCATTTTTTTTCCCTGAGCAAGATGATGTATATTAGCCTAAAACCTTTCTCAAACCCCTTAAGAATAATGAATCCTACAAATATTAGAGTGTTCCCCTTAATTGATGCCTTGCATCAATACCAGGTGCAGATTAAAATGGACACGCGGGGGACCATGGCATTCACTGAAGTTAGGTCCCCAAGAACAACCAAATAGAGAAACAAGATCCATATAGGCAACCATAACTATATAGAGTTGAGATGTGTTTTGCTTAGAGAAGTACATTAGACACGTATAGAATGCTTTCATTTTAATAAAATATTAGCATAAAATCCAATTTGAAATTCCCATTTTAGGTAAAAATAAAATAAAAAAGAACTGATTTGTAATTGGGCATTCAATAGGAGGAGAAAGCTCTTGCGCCACTGTTATTTGATGCGGGTTTTTTATTTTAAAATTAATTTGCCTTGACCACATGCAAAACAATTATTTTAAGATATATAAGTGGTACTTATGAATTTTAAATGTAGCATGGTTGGTTGTTCTCCCGCGAAAATTGTTTTCATGATAACTTACATATAGGTTTTTAATTCCACTATTAAATAAAGATAACATTGCACATCCAATTTGGAGAACGTGACATCATAAGGAAAAAAAATGAAAAGTAAACAGTCCTTGACCACCAATTAACTAGATGCGGCCTTTCCAAGCCACTGCCCCACAATACTGGGGCAGTCCCTAGATCCCTTCTTTTTAAGCCTTCTTAAGAGTCCTTCCTGATTGCCCGCAGTTATCCAGAAGGAATGGAATGACTAATGTCATGTGAAACCTCGACAAAGAAAAATCTCCTTGGACTTCCCTATCCGTATGGCCGGCCAATCCGTGACAACCCCACAACAAAGAGTGAAATGCCAAGCCGTTTCTCTATTAAAGAAACAAGTATGCGCTCAAAATACCTCCGTTTAACCCACCTCTTTTGTGTACTGGAACAGCTACCACTTCCATAGAACAGCACTAACTTACCGCTCTCTACAAGAACATTACCTAAAGGCCCTGATACTACCACTTGGATCTGGAACCTACATGCTGATGCTTTTGAACCTCAAATGCATACAAATGAGATACGTTTATGCATAAATCAATAGAACATTTATACTACATTATTTGAAAGGTAAAAAAATGTGGGAATACCTTGAGTTGCAAGATGATGTTTCAAAGGGAGTATTGACTATTGATGCCTGTGATTGGTTAACTAGTATCTATAAAATTAGTTACCATCTTTGTAAGTCACATGCAACCTTAGTTTAGACTATGCTTAGTTCTCCTCAATGGTCAATGGAAGGATTTAGTGTGGATACTGGATAGAAGTTTAAGAGACGTGCAAATTTATAAACAAACTAGGACATGGAAATTGAGTATCAGTTGATCTGAGCTGCAATGACAATGCCTCACAGCTCACATAGCTTCATGCATCTTATAAGACTTCCCCAAAGTTTTCTTTTCACCCTTCCAGGCAAGTAGCAAGGAATGGTGTGAAGAAGGTATTATCATTTATCCATCTAGCATGCATCTTCATGTGATCTTTGAACTATTTGGGATTTATTTAGTTTTTTTTAAAAAAAAAAAAAAAAAAAAAAAAAAAAAAAAAAAAAAAAAGGCTTTAGCATGTAATTTGGATATCCACAATTATATAGGAAAAGAGTTGTCACATAAATCCATTGTACATGCCTTTTCTTTGTAAATGATATGCAATGTTAAGCATTTCAATGATTTTTCAAAATTCACGGCCTTGAATGGGTGTCTCTAAAATATTGCCCTACAAGTTACAGCCAAGATGCTTACCACCACAAAAAATTGACACCACCATCCCAGTAGTCAACCATATGAACCCCTTTCCACGAATCAAAATCCTAACTGGTACCCCCCGTTACCACATCTAGTTTGAAGTTTCACCATTGTAATAGTGAAGATTCACCACTATATTTCAACAATTTTTAGTGCTGAAATTCAAAGTACAAGTGACGTTTTTATAAGTGGGTAACGTGACGGTTTAGTGTAACATTGAGTTCGGACCACTAGGGGATTTAAGTCCCCTTTTCACTATCTAGTGTAAATAGTGATAATAATTATGCCTTACAATTAGCGATTATATTAGCTAGCATTGACTTACCCTAAATATCAGGGGCGGAGCTACTGAAGGGCTAACCTGGGCTATAGCCCAGATTCAAAAAAAAAAAAAAAAATTATTATTACTATAGATCACTTCACAACCCGGTCCATATGCAATACTACTCTTCCTCGTAGCCCGGTCCATATGCAATAATACTCTTCCTCTTAGCCCGGTGCACTTTGCAATCCTGGCTCCGCCCCTGCTGAATATGGTTGCTGTAATTATGGGATTATATTAGTGAACTTGCCTTTTAGATAGCTGCTGTAATTACTACTCCTTGATTGTAGCCACTTTGTTTGGCAAATCTTGTATTATAAATTGTAATGAGAACCAAAGGGAAGGGATCACTTCCACATCCAAAAATATGTTGTAGCTCTGTTTTCTCTTCTAGTTTTTCTAGCTCTACTCCTTTAAATTCTATCTAAGGATTTGCAAGTTTATAGTCGAACATTGCAGCCTCCTACTACATCTGCTCCTACTTCCAGTCACTCATCCATGCCACCTCCACCTCCACCTCCAGGTAACATCACTCCTGCACTCTCCGCACTTCCCCGTCGTTCTTCTCTTGTTTCTAACCCTCCTAACCGCTTTGGATTTTTTGCTCTCCTTCCCACTGTAGATTCTATTTTTGTTCCTTCTTCTTATTCACAGGCCAAAGAACTACCATGTTGGCAAGATGGTATGACAGAGGAGTTAATTGCTCTTGAATCACATCACACTTGGAATTTAGTTCCTCGACCTTCTGGATTTCAAGTAATTGGAACTAAATGGACTTACTGTCTCAAGTTGAAACCTAATGGTAGTTTGGAACAATACAAGGCTCGACTTGTTGCTCAAGGGTATAAGCAAGAGTATGGTATTGATTATGAAGAAACATTTGCTCAAGTTGCCAAGATTCCCACTGTTCAAACTTTACTAGTTGTTGCTGCCATTCGAGGATGGCCTCTTTGGCAAATGGATGTTAGAAATGCATTTTTGCATAGGAATCTTCAGGAGACAATTTTTATGAAACCACCACCGGGATATGTCTGTCACTTGCACAAAACCCTTTACGGTCTTAAGCAATCTCCTCGTGCATGTTTTGAAAATTTTTGTGGTGCCATTATCAAAGCTGGCGTTCACCAAAGTCCTAATGATAACTCCTTGTTTGTTAAGCGCAAAACTTAAGGTTCTACATGGTTATTGTTATATGTTGATGATATGATCATTACGGGAAATAATGAATCTGAAATTACTTTTGTGAAGACCTACTCAAT